AGGTGGTGGAAGTGGAGGTGGAGCAGCCTTGCTCTTCCTTGGGGGACATGATTCCGAGTGTTTTTTAGGTCGATGAGAAGCCACTGCAGGGTTCTAAGCAGAGGACTGTTGTGCTCTAGCAAGACTTTGCCTCTGAGGCAGCTGGGAAGCTAATGGCAGGATTAGAGATTCTGCTGAATGAAAGGCAAAAAAGTAAAAAAAAAAAAAAAAAGTCCCACCTCCTCACCCCCTCCATTCCCCAATGCCCACTCTTCCCCCTCCAGCCGCCAAAGGGAAGTGGGGCCCTGACAGATGGAGGGTCCCCTGGGGTTTGTCCTCGGCAAACAGGAAGTCACAGCCCAGTGAGGCGGCTCTGGGAACCAGCCCCTGAGAAAGCAGGTCTCCTGGGTCCCTAGCCCCTTTCCCCGAGTGACTGCAGCCGTGAGAGACACCGATAGGCACACACGTACACCTGCCCAGAGAAGGGGGGCGGGGTACACAAGCAGAAGGAAAGAAGAGGGGGAGCAGGAGGATGAAAGAGAGAGATGGGGGACCAAGAGAGATTTCAGAGCCAGGACTCTTGGGTTCTAGCGTTCAGTGGGTGATCTTGGGCAGCACCCTGGCCTTCTGTGGGCCTCAGTCTCATTTCTAAACGGGTTCCTTCCATAACCGAAGCAGGGGCGTCCTAGGAAAGAACTGGGAGAGAGGAGGGGATCGATCATTGGTCGCTTCTCAGGCCACTGCGGAGCCACAGGGGCAGTCTGGCTTGAGCTCAGCCATCGATCGGTGCTGTCTCATTCACTGGGTGCCGGCTGGAAATGCCATGTGTCTATTGTCCGCTTAATCTTCATAAACCACACTCAATAGCACATTACCACCTCCAGTTTACAGAGAGAAACGGAGGCTTAGTCAGACGAAGAAATTTAACCAAGTAGTAGAGGTGGAGGATTCGAACTCCGGTCTGCCAGATCCCACAATCTCTGGACAGGCTGGTTGTATGTATAGAAGTGACGGTGGCCCAAGAAGTATTGGTTGAGTGAGTAAATGAAGTGTGTGTGTGTGTGTGTGTGAAGGGAAATGGATTTAGAGCAGTGGTTCTCAACCTTCCTAATGCCACGACCCTTTAATACAGTTCCTCATGTTGTGGTGACCCCCAATTTCATTGTTACAAATGGAACATAATGAAAGCATAGTGATGAATCACAAAAACAGTATGTAATTATATATGCGTTTTCCAATGGTCTTGGGCGACCCCTGTGAAAGGGTCATTCAACCCCCAAAGGGGTCGCGACCCACAGGTTGAGAACCGCTGATTTAGAGCCAGAGGGAGGAGTGGAAGAAGGAGGGAGCCCCTCATTCACCAAACATTTATGGGGCACCTTCAATGTGCCCAGCACTGTTCAGGGCACCCTGCTACAGTGGTGAAAAGGCAGCGTCTGCTGCCAGGGGCTGACTCTAGTCGGGGGAACAGGAAGTGAGCAGATGGACTCCAGATCACTTCATTTCACTGGTGGTGAGTGTGGGATGGAAATGAACCAGTGTGGCAGGGAGGGGGCACTTTTGTGGGTCTGGAGAGGCGCATGGGGAAGGCGGCCTGAGGCGTGACCACCCCTTCCTCCCCGAGGGGAGGGGAGGGGACTGCCCACCCGCCTCCGCAAACACCCATGGTTCAGTGCCCCCCAGCCCCCCACTTGCCCCAGCAACCCCTGCGCGGGGAAGCTGGGTGCCTCGGAGAGTCTAGCCACCATGCCACCTCCTCTCCTCTTCTTCCTCCTCTTCCTTACTCCGGTGGGAGTCAGGCCCCAGAAATCACAGCTGATGGAGGCTAAAGGTATGACCGAAGGGCACGGATGGAAGGAGCCAGGGCCGGACACCTGGGCTCGGGCTGGATGCCCTTGGCCAAGTAACCTGCCCTCTCTGAGCCTCCATTTTCTTCATGGGAAAATTCAGGCCAGGCTGAAGGATGCTGAAGGGTCATTGGGTTTGTAACACACAGCGTGAGGCGTGAAGGGGCTAGCTGCTCCTCTCCCCACCCCGCTCTCTTTCCATAGAGGGAGGCAGTGCTGTGCTGCCCTGCGTTTCCTCGGGGGGTCCCCCTGATCAGCTGGCCTGGTACGAGGCGTGCCTGTTACAGCGGAGCCGGAGCCGGAGCCGAGGGCTGCCAGGCCTGGGCATCCAGGTGGGGGCCCTGGGCATCCTGCTGCTCATCTCCGACATCTCTGCCCAGATGGGGGGCTTCTACCTGTGCCAACAGGGGCCCCCTTCCGAGC